GTGGCCGGGGGTGTCCCCAGCCCTGAGTCATGTCCCCCCATGTTCCCGTGTCCCTGTGTCCCCAATGTCCCCCCAATGTCCCCAATGTCCCCAATGTCCCCGATGTCCCCGTGTCCCCCCGTGTCCCCGCAGGCAGCTGGTGGCCGCGGGGCTCCTGACCGTGCGCGACGCCGGCAGTTGGTGGCTGGCGGTGCCGGGGGCCGGGCGCTTCGTGCGGGCGCTGCTGCGGGGTGAGCGCCGCCCCCGGGACCCCTCTGGGACCCCTGGGACCCCTCTGGGACCCTTGGGACCTCTCAGTGACCCCTGGGACCCTCAGTGACCCCTGGGACCCGCAGTGACCCCTGGGACCTCTCAGTAACCCCTGGGACCCCTCTGGGACCCTTGGGACCTCTCAGTGACCCTTGGGACCCCTCAGTGACCCCTGGGACCCCTCTGGGACCCCTGGGACCCTCAGTGACCTCTGGGACCCCTGGGACCCCTCTGGGACCCTTGGGACCCCTCTGGGACCCTTGGGACCTCTCAGTGACCCCTGGGACCCCTCTGGGACCCTTGGGACCCTCAGTGACCCTTGGGACCCCTCAGTGACCCCTGGTACCTCTCTGGGACCCCTGGGACCCCTCTGGGACCCCTGGGACCCTCAGTGACCTCTGGGACCCCTGGGACCCCTCTGGGACCCTTGGGACCTCTCAGTGACCCCCAGGACCCCGCAGTGACCCCTGGGACCCTCAGTGTCCCTTCAGTGACCCCTGGGACCCCCTGACCCCTCAGTGACCCCTGAACCACCCCTGTAACCCCCTGGGTGACCCCTGACCCCTGGGTGATCCTGATGACCCCCTGGGTGACCCCTGACCCCTGTGTGATCCTGATGACCCCCTGGGTGACCCCTGACCCCTGGGTGACCCCCGGGTGACCCCCGTGTGTCCCCAGGCCGCCGAGCCGTGCTGTCCCTGGTGCGGCGCTCGCGGCTGCGGCAGCTGCCCCTGCAGGACCTGCGGGGGGGCAAAACCCCCCCGGGAGCCGCCCTGGGGGTCCCGTTCCTGCTGCACGACCTGCTGGGGGAGGGGCGGCTCCAGAGGTACGACCCCTGACCCCTCTGTGACCCCTCTGTGACCCCTGACCCCTCTGTGACCCCTCTGTGATCCCCCACTGACCCCTGACCCCTCACTGACCCCTGGGGGTCCCGTTCCTGCTGCACGACCTGCTGGGGGAGGGGCGGCTCCAGAGGTACGACCCCTGACCCCTCCGTGACCCCTCTGTGACCCCTGACCCCTCAGTGACCCCCCGAGTGACCCCTGACCCTTCAGTGACTCCTCAGTGACCCCTAACCCCAGAGTGGCCCCTGAGTGACCCCTGACCCCAGAGTGACCCCTGAGTGACCCCTGACCATGAGTGACCCCTGAGTGAGCACTGACCCCTCCGTGACCCCTCTGTGACCGCTCGGTGACCCCTCACTGACCCCTGGCCCCTCAGTGACCCCCATGTGACCTCTGACCCCTGACCCGCAGCGTCCCGACTGCCGCGGGCCCCCTGCTGCGATTGGCTGAGCCGTGACCTCTGACCCCTGACCTTTGACCTCTGACCGGACCTTCCTGAGGGAGTAATCCCAAATTTCCGCTCCGGGGCGTGGCCACGGCTGACCACGCCCATTTGGGGCGGGGCCAAGGGGGTCCAAGATTGGCCCCGCCCCCCGGGGGGGAGGTGGGGATAAGGCTGAGTGCAATAAACCCAAAAATAAAATAAAATAAAACCCCAACATTGATAAAACTTACGTCTATAAAAGCAATAAAACCAGAATTATTAAAATGAATAAAACCGAAATTTATGAAACCGAATTCAAAATCGGTAAAATAAAAATCAATAAAACCAAGATAAGCAAAACCAAAGTCGGTAAAACGGAAATCAATAAACTCAATAAACCCCAAACTGATCAATCCCCAAACTGATTGATCAATCCCCAAACTGATCAAACCTGAAATTGATCAAACCCGAAATCGATCAAACCCAAAATCGATTGCTCAATCCCCAAACTAATTGATCAAATCCCAAATCAATTGATCGGTCCCCAAATCAATTGATCAATCCCAAAATCGGTCAAACCCCAAATGGATCAAACCTCAAATCCATCGATCAATCCCAAAATCAATCTATCAAATCCCAAGTCAATTGATAAATCAGCAAATCAATCTATAAAACCGTAAATCGATCAATCCCCATATCAATTGATCAAACGCCAAATCGATAAATCTCCAAACAGATCAAACCCCAAATCAACTGATCAATCCCCGAACCGATCGATCAATCCCCGAACCGATCAAACCCCAAATCAATCGCTCGATCCCCAAGCCGATCGATCAATCCCCAAACCGATCAAACCTCTCCATTCCCGATAATTAATTTCATTTCTTTGATTTTAATTCAAATTTCCCGCCTGCGGGCCCCACCCTGGCGTTGCCCCTTTAAGCCCCCGCCCACCCCTCCCATTGCGGTCGGCGCCATCGCCGCTTTAAGGCGAAGCCCCGCCCACCCCTCCCATTGGCCGCCTG